TGGGAGGCTGAGGTGAGCAGATCTCTTGAACCCAGGAGTTTGAGACCAGCCTGGGCAACATAGTGAATACCTATCTCCACAAAAAATAGAAAAATTAGCCAGGTGTGATGGTGCACATCTGTAATCCCAGCTATTTGGGAGGCTGAGATGGGAGGATCACTTAAACCTGGGAGGTTGAGGCTTCAGTGAACCATCATGGTGCCACTGCAAGACCCTGTCTCAAAAAAGATAAAAAGAAAAAAAGAAAAAAAGACTTTGGCTTTTACTCTGAGGAAAATGGGAGGGTTTTGAAGGTTTTGAGTGGAGGAGTGATATGATCTGTAGTGTTTGGAACACTCATTTGGTGCTGTAGGAGTCAAGGAGTCAGCTAGGCACAGGGAGTGTTGTGAGTAGGCTGTTCAGCAGGCAAAGCAGGGGAGCAGCAGTCAAAGGTGCAAGCAGGAAGACCAGTTATTAGCCAGGGAAAAATTAATGTATGTAAAGTGCTTGCTCAGAGCTTTGCATTTAATATATGTTCAATAAATGGTATCAACTATGTGAATACCTATCAAATTCTACCATTAACCAAATCAAGACTTGCTTTCTCAGGAAATTAAATGAATTATCTTTGTCACTTATTTGACATTTATTTAACATATTTTGAATTAATTTACTTCTGTATATTTATTTAAATATCCACATATTTCTGACTTTTCTCTCCGTGTGTGTGTGTGTGTGTGTGTGTGTGTGTGTGTATACACATATAATTATTATTTTCTTTCTTTCTTTCTTTTGAGACAGGGTCTCATTTTGTCACCCAGGCTGGAGTGCAGTGGGGTGAACATGGCTCACTATAGCCTTGACCCCCAGGCTCAAGCAATCCTCCTGCTTTAGCCCTTTAAGTAGCTGAGACAACAGGTGTGTGCCACCATGGTGGCTAATTTTTTGTTGTTTTTTGCATACAAAAATTTACCGCTACGGTTTTTTTTCCTTTATTTTTGAGACTAAGTCTCACTCTGTCATCCGGGCTGGAGTGCAGTGGTGCGATCTCGACTCACTGCAACCTCTACCTCCCAGATTCAAGCGATGCTTGTGCCTTGGCCTCCTGAGTAGCTGGGATTATAAGCGCACAGTACCACACCCAGCAAATTTTTTTATTTTCAGTAGAGACGGGGTTTCACCATGTTGGCCAGGCTGGTCTTGAACTCCTGGCCTCAAGCAATCCACCTGCCTTGGCCTCCCAAAGTGTTGGAATTACAGACGTGAGCCACCACACCTAGCCCATCACTACAGTGTTTTCACCATTCAAGTTTATGATCTTGGTCTTTCCTTTGTGCCTTTGTATAGGGCCAAAAGAGAGACATTGGGTACTTTGACAACCTTAAAGCAGACTCCAGGAATATCACCTTTTTTTTTTTTGAAAAGATGAAGTCTCGCTCTCATTGCCCAGGCGCAAGGCCAGTGGCATGATCTCGGCTCAACACGACCTCTGGCCTCCCAGGTTCAAGCGATTCTCCTGCCTCAGCCTCCTGAGTAGCTGGGATTACAGGCGCCTGCCCCCATGCCTAGCTTAATTTTTAAAATTTTTAGTAAGAGATGTGGGTTTCACCATGTTGCCAGGCTGGTCTCGAACTCCTGACCTCATATCCACCCGCCTGGCCTCCCAACAGTGCTGGGATTAACAAGCGTGAGCCACTGTTGCCAGCCCAGCATGACCTTTTCATCAATCCCAGCAAACAAGAATTTACAATTTTTCTCAATAAAGTTCAGCACCACCATTGGTACAAAGGCTGGTGATTTTCTTTGCTATTCTTGATCAGCCTGGATGCTGGGCACACTTCCTGATGGCAGAATTGGCTGTTTGGCTCTTCAACCCCTACTTCTTTCAGCCACAATTCCTTTTGCATGAGAAGCCACCGTCTCATGCAAACCCTCAAAGGGGCTGGCCCCTTGCAGCTGGTGCCCAAATGGGCTTTCTGTACTGTTTTTATCATGCCACTCTTGGTCCGTCAGTGACTATGGGCTTTCCTAAGCCAGCATGGAAGTCCTACTGACCTACTTGCCATCCTGTTGTCACCACAGGCTCGATGGAGTGAGAGAGCTAATTAAAAAAAGAAAAAGAAAGAGCCTACTTTTTGTAGACACGGGTTTCACAGGGATGCCCAGTGCGTCTCAAACTCTCATGGGCCTCCAAGTGACTCTATCGGCACCTTAGCCTCTCAAAATGTCTCCATGTATACGTAAAATACTATGGTCTTTTTTTTTTTTTTATGTGGAGACGGAGTCTCCCTCTGCCGCCCAAGGCTGCGAGTGCCAGTGGCGGATCTCAGCTCACTGCAAGCTCCGCCTCCCGGTACGCCATTCTCCTGCCTCAGCTCCGAGTACTGGAACCTACAGGCGCCCGCCACCTCGCCCGGCCTAGTTTTTGTAATTTTTTGTAGTAGAGATGGGTACTTCACCGTGTTAGCCAGGGAGGTCTGGATCTCCTGACCTCGTGATCCGCCCGTCTCGGCCTCCCAAAGTGCTGGGATTACAGGCTTGAGCCACCGCGCCCGGCCACGTTAAATACTATGTCTTAAGCATTTTTAATCTCCTTAGGTATCAGGCAATAGCAAGATGACCAGATAAATAATAACCAGATAAGATAACCAGATAAGTAACAGCCACGCCACAATAACAATAAAAACGCCAACATCAGCTAACATTTCCTAAGCACTTACTGGGTGTGAGAGGCAGTATAGGGAGATAAATAAGAGCATGAGTTCTGGAATCAGACTGTGCTAAAATATGTAAACGCCCGGGAGGCGGAGCTATGGCAGTGAGCTGAGAATCCGGCCACTTGCACTCGCAGCCTGGGGCGGCAGAGGAGAACTCCGTCTTCCAAAACAAAAAAAAAAAAAAAAAACAAAACTAGAGCGCCCCATAGCTAGCCTGGGACACTAGCAAGACCCCCACACCTCTACCAACATTTAAAAACCATCCCTAACGGCATTCGGTGGGCGAATACCTGTAGTCCAAGCTATTCAACGAAGTTTCATTTGAGGCCGCAGGACATTTGAGGGTCACAGTGAGCTGTGATTGTGCCAGCTGCACTCCAAGCCTTGGGCAACAGAGTGGAGACCTTCCTCTTAAGAGAAGAAAAAAGAGAATAAAGTGTGTTGTAGAAGAAAGCAGCGCCGAGCGGAGAGTGAGCTAGAGAATCTCAAGCCGTGCCCTAAATATGATACTGTGAAGACTCCCCAGCTTTATCAGAGTGAAAAGCTGCAGGCACCAGGTCAGTTGAAGAAACTTGCCCAAGAGGAGAGTTTGA